ATACATCAAGAAACTGCAGCTTCCTACAATAACTCCAGCAATGTTACAAAAAACTGCGCTACTCGGAACATCTTATATTTTAAGGAGATACCTGGTGACACTCTCCGTCCGACGGCATCCCGAGGAGACAAAGACGACAGGAACGCAGGAACGTAGTGAAAGCAAGGTGATTTAATCCCCGGCCAAAACAAAGTCAGCACTGGGAGTGGTTTGCTCCCAGTGCTGTATATAGAGGTACCACACCCCTTCCCCCCGCCCCCAACAGCAAGCCAACATCCGCCTGTAGCACATAAATGCCCCCGTAGTCCGGCCCCACCCCTCCCTGGAAGCGGTCACGCTGGGCTTGTTGTCTTGTCGGCCGCTTGGCTGCTGCAACAGGCCATCACCGTCCTGGTCAGTCCTTCCACTGTTGCAGCCCCGTTCACGCTGTAGATGCCTTCCCTCGGGGCCCGCGTTCTCTCGGTCTTGTTGGTTGTGCGGGCCGGCTGAATGGCCACGGGCCAATGGCTCGACTGGTCCTTGCTTGCGGCAGCCGCTGCTGGCCCCTCCCCCGACGTCTGCGGTCTTTCCTGGCCCTCCGCGGCTTCCATCCGCTGACTTCCGGCTTCTCGGCTGGGTCGCGGCAAACGGCAGGCCTCTGCATGCCTCCCCCCTCACCCTCGCGCTGGGCGACGCCGACTGAGGCCTCCGTGACCCAAGCGAGGTAGGCGGCAGCTCGGGGAAACGAGGGGAGGGGGTGGGTCGTACCTGCTGGCTGGAGCTATGCCGGAGGAGAGCCGGGCGGCTGCGTCGGCGTGCTGTGGTTGGGCGGTTGTGGCGGCGTTCGGCTGCTGCGGCGTTCGCGACTTCCCCCCCCCAGCGAATGGCAAGCCCCGCGGAGCTTGACACCTGGTTGACACCTAGGATATTGGTAGCAACCCGTGTCAACCATGAGCACCAGCCAATTTGAATGTTCAGTTGACTGAGGTTCATGTTTAATGAATAAAAGATAATAATAATAACAACAACAACAAAATTGCAGTACTAAACAAACAAAGATTATTTTTGGGAGGAGGACAGTAATTTGGAAATAAATACATGGTGGCTGGTGAGGAGGCCTTGTATTACACTATTCCTTGCATTGCTAAAGCAGTAACTCTAATTAGCCAACCTGTACCACCCAAAACCACCAAAAATGATGCTGGATCTACTTTTGGTTCTTGAACACAGACTTTTCTATATTCCAGTGTCCTCACTTGCTAAAAAGGCAAAACAAATAATGTATGTAATTCAGTTTTTGCCTTGACGTTTATTCTATCTAGGAATTGCATACAGGAATGATGCAAAGCCACACTGCTGCTTGGAGAATCTATTCCTATGATAGATAGTTTCCGGCATGATTAGATTGTGGGGATAGGTGCCTGAGGCAGAAGAAGACATGAGAGTATTGTTAGTCAGTCTCTGTCTTGCTTGGATAAGAGTGGTCAGTGATGTATGATATAGTTAGGAGCTGCAAATTGTGAGTATACATAAGAACAACTACTGCCAAAATTCTTAGCTAAAGGCTTCTTTCCTTGGTTTCCTTGGCATCTTGGCAATGACAGAAACATTTCCAAAGTTGCAGATATTTGGCTTGTTTGTGATTTGTATTTCACCGTATAATGTTATTGGATTCTGCCTTTAAAAATGTGTACAGCAGTTATCATTGATCTTATATCATCTTGGAAGTCTTAGATTTCAAATGGTTTATTTTTAAATTTTGAACAGCTTATATACTTAAAGAGCTTATAAAATTAATTATATAATTTTAAAGTGCCTATAAGCAAACATTACTATTATCCAAGACCCTCTTTCTTCAACATTTGCAAGTAAAAAATTGATGCAGCAGATCTTTGAGTGCCTCACTGACCTTGATAGTAACGTGGAGGTCACATTTCCACATGGCGAAGCAACTCCAAAGCACCTTCTCCATCTTCATAGATACAGACTGTTTTTACTCCTCCCTGAAATCAATCAAGGAGCACGTCTTCTCCGACTTCTTTTTTTTTCTCTGACAGGGATGATAAAAACAGGCAGAGCAAAGAATTTTCTGCCAGCTCCCCTTCCACGTTTTGAGTAAATCAGGAAGAAAAAGGGAGAAGCGGGTGGCTTCAATCATTAGGAATTGTAACGGCAGACAAATGTCCTGACCCTGACAGATGACTTTGTTGAGTAGATGTATAATGCTGAGGCTTAAAGCATATAAACTGCTTGGTGGGCTGGATTGAGTAATTTAGAGAAAAGAGCCTAATTGTGGCATAGAAGAATGATATCATCTAGGACAGATGGATGGGTTTGTTTTTGGCAGGAAGAACCAGTAAAAAAACAGAAGTGGATAAGAAAGACATTGTAATGAATCCAAAATATATTTATCCTTAACTTGCCCTGACAAATTAGAATTATCTCTGTTCTTCAGTATTGACATGAATGTCTTGTAACACTGGGGATTGTCTAATCCTGTGCACTGTACTGAATGTTGCTGAAAATCGTAACATTTTAGCATCAAAATATGATTCATTGTTGTACATTTGTAATAATAAAATGTGCAACAACTGTGTGATATTGTAATGTATAGATCTCCTTAATTACCAGATCACACCCTGGTAACTCCATGTTTAGTTATATGCTCTCTGTGGTCCAGGGGTGTATTCAGTATAGAGTTTGGTGGCCAAGCTTCTGTTCATTCACATGTTACACAGTTCATGAAGCAACTGCATTGCAGTTAGCTACTGAGCCAAGATAAAGTCCTTAAACAATTTGAAACTGGAGTACGAGATTGCCTGCCTTTGCATTATCAATGTGATCAATTTTTCACTTCAGGGGAGGTCTTCTAGCATGTGCCATCTGCAATTACTTGTAAATAGGTTGTCTACTATCTACATAGGTAGAAGACCTATTTACTAGGCTTCCTCCATTTGAAATAAACTCTCCTCTCAAATTTAAGAGACATCTGCTAAAGATCTCTACCTTCCCTCTACGAATGGAGAGGTTGGATGATTTTTATATTCTCTTGTCCTCATCTTGTTCTGTCTGCTATCTTTGTAATAAAATTATTATTTTTATATTGCTTTTAAATTATTAGTTGCATTACGGTACTTTTATTGTTCGGTTGCAAACCATTTTGTAATTTACACTAATGGGAAACAGTCGACAGAACATTAAACAATGATTATACCAGACTACACAGCTGCATTATTGATGGTTTAAGAAATGCTGTTTAAATGAATTTTCCACAAACAGGAAAACAATGGGGTTTTAGGGGGGGGTCATCTGGATGTTTTGTTTTGTGTTTTCTGCACTGAATGCACACTGAATGCACACATGTAGAATGCTTGGTTTCCTATCCTCTGTATAGTTTTCCTGGATAGAATGGGAAGAAAATATACTTGTTACTTCTAACTTTCTAACTCCAAGGGATTTTTTTCTGAGCAAATTAATGCATTGGATAAAAAGATGGTTTATTTAAAACTAATATGTAAATCTGATTTGGGGGTGGGAGAGCAGTTTGCTTACCTAGATGAGGCCACAATGTCTTTGAAACATCAGACAATTTAGGTGTAGTATCTTTGATCCTGTTTAGCTGCTAAATTCCTAGATAGTGGAAATAAGTGGAGGTCACTAAGAATTTTAAAAGATGTCACCTTTATTCCTTATTATCACAGTATCTATTCTTAATTTTTTTTGTAGATTGACCACAAATATGATTTGGAAACTGCATCTGATGCAGAATTCTGTGGCCCTTATCAAAGCGGACAACAAGAAAAACAGTTTATTTTGTTTAATTGCACAAACTGCCGATTAACTAGTAGCTTCAGTTGAAGATGCAGATTGTCTGTACTTTGTATAATTGAATCTCTTTTTTGTATATGCTCTTCTTCTCTAAGGCTAAATGTCTCCTTTCAATGCTTTTGTTTTCAGGTTGGATTAATAGAATTAGGATTAATTATTATTAGAGTAATAGCCCCAGGAATTTTCTGGTAGATGCTGTGATTCTTTGTAGCTTCCCATCCAGGAAATACACTTTTGGCATCTTTATGGTGACTTTATTTTTCTTTGAAGTATTTTTAGAGTTAGTTATGTGTTATTTGAATTAACTTGGAAATTACAGGAATTCCAAATTGTAGATAAATTTTTACCTTACCTTTAGTTAAAATTTACAGTTATTTTTTCTAGAATTTAAAAGCAGGCTATATTATTATTATTAGTAGTAGTAGTATTAGTATTAGTATTATCTTTTTCTGACTGTTTCACACAAGTCTTAATTCTTTTTGTTTTTACTGTACCATACTACTGTTGTTGCTGCTAAAAATGGTCAACGTAATATTCTTATCTCAGTTGTACAAAGTGAGTGAAAACTTCTGTGGTCAAAAATATGTGGCATTGTTCTTACCACAGGTTAAAAGATCCTTTTTGCCTTTTGTTTTCATTTTTTTTAGTTATTATAGTTTTGAGTTGAAAACTTGTATTTTTTTTAATATAAACCAGTTTTTCTAACATTAATAATGGTGGTAGTTGTTGATGTTGTTGTTCTTGGTTCAGTATCGAAAAAAACAAGTTACAAAACTTGCAAATAGAATTATATTCTTCTGTTGTGGCCAAAGAATAATTATCATTCCACGAATCTCTTTGAAAATATCATTGATGGCAAATCAATTGATGGATGCACTTCCTTTATGATGTTTTTCTAAGCAGATTGTGTTCTGTGCAATCTGGCATTATTCATCCAGCATCAGATGAAATAGAGGCTGGTGCTATAAAGGCAAAATCTGAAGATGCTGTCCCTTTTTCTTGGATTGATCTTGCTTAGCACAACTGGTCCTATTGTCTTGAATATGATGCAAAGGGAAATCAGACCCAATGGACACGGTCCACTTTGATTCAATCCCAGCTGTAATCCTTTGTGATAACAAGCAATATCAACGTTACTGTTTTCTTTCATTATATTTATTGCTGAACTTTGATCATTCTGTCCTCTTTTTCAGGTCGTCCCATTCCACCTACGTCCTCGTCTAGCCTTCTCCCATCTGGTCAACTGCCCAGCTCCCATAATCCACCACCAGTTAGCTGCCAGATGCCCTTGCTAGACAGCAATACTTCCCATCAAATTATGGACACCAACCCTGATGAGGAGTTCTGCCCAAATTCATACCTACTAAGAGCATGCACAGGGCCACAGCAAACTTCCACCAGTGGTAAGGAAATACTATTTGATTATAAATATTATGCTTGTATAAGCAAATTCTAATTGTTGCAAGAACAGTTGTTCAAAATAGAGACATGAGGGGAAATGAACATATATTTATCTGTGAATTTGTTGTGGCTTGAGAATTTTATTAAAGTCTGATACATTAATAAATGGATATTTTTGCTGTCAAATTTCATTTTAGAGTTTCTTCTGAATTAATAGTTATCTTCATAAAACTGAAACCATGAATGCATTTTATCACTTGATGAAAATTGCCTTGTATTTTTGGAGAAATATATACTAAAGGTATTGCACTGCTTTGCATTTTTATAGAATAGTACCTTGCCTTTTAAAATGCAAAATATTATGCTGGCCCTGTTGTAATATGTTTTATATTTTCATATTTGTTGTGTTTCTTTCAATTTTCCTATCAGAATTGCAAGTAATCCTAACTTTTAACCTTTTATGAAGTATTGATATCTCTCAAATTGACCACCAATTTATAAAATATTTAGGCTGCATTTTTAAAATGAGGAAATAGATTCTATTGTTAGTACCTCTATTTTTGGGGAAATCCTTTTACCCCAATCAGGTATTCAAAAAGCACCGTGGACTTAGTAGATAAAGTAGAATGAGGGAGGGATAGATCAGATATAGAGTGCCCTGACAATTTGATTGTAGTGCATTGTGGTTTTTCCATTTCTATATTTTACAAATAGTTGAGAAGTTGCATTAGGTATTTGAGAGTTCTGTTAGTATTATTGATTTTATTTCTTTGATGCAGTTTTCTGAGCTATGCATAAATCATTTGAACAATTTTAAAAGGAAGAAGTAACACATTTTAAATGAATATTAAAAAACAACAAGAAGCAGGATATAAATCAGGACCACTAATAAATAAATAAATAAATAAATACATAAACAAGGAGTAGAACAATGAAGTTTCAAGAACAATTTTTAAATGTGTATGATGATAATAATAAAATAAAGGGGGAGAGCATCCAGGGGAAGGTTTTGTTGTTGTTATTTCCTGCCTTGCCTCTTCTGATTCAATTTTCTTGTTATAGTATTCTTTTATGTTCCATAGTATGCTTGTTATTGTATGCTATTCTTATGTCACCATAATTAATGAACATAAGATCTGTAATTGGGAAGCACACTGCTGTTTTGCATGAACACATCTTGCAAGAAACTGCATGGCCAGCAATTTATGCCCTCTAAAAAGCTGGGAAAAAATTATATAGAACCAGAAATCTGCATTTGGCAGAAGAAAACAAAACAAGATTTCAGAAAACTCTGGTGATTTTTCCCCCTTTTAACATGTCCTCATATATCACAATGATAAATCTTAAGTTGCAATTCCAAGCACATGCATGGAAGTCTAAAGTTATAGTAATGGTGCTTGCTTCTAGATAAATCATTCTAGAATTGAGGCTTTCATGAAGTCAGAAAGAAAGAAAGAAAGAAAGAAAGAAAGAAAGAAAGAAAGAAAGAAAGAAAGAAAGAAAGAAAGAAAGAAAGAAAGAAAGAAAGAAAGAGAAGCACTGTTAGATCAGACCGGACAGCTATCTAGGTCAGCAATTTCTTTCTTAAAACAATCAAGTAAAGGCATCTGAGAAGCAAGCATGACATGATGGCAGTAGCAATCTTTTTTCCACCCCAGTTACTGAAGCTCCAAAGTCTCGTCTGTTCAGAGCTTGATATACTGCCCATTGACAAACTTGTCCATTATAAATATAGCCCCCCTTATATAACTACTTTTTTGTGCCAGTATATGACACTAATTACTTAAGAAATGCTCCCTTAAAGCTGTCCTGTGTCACTTTGCAATCAGTTTACTGGGTCATGTTTAACATTGTGAAAATCAGAGAAAGAAAAAAAAACAACTTTCCAGCCAATTTAGCTACACCACCTGCCCATGGGATTTTGAACCAAAACACGAATGAGATTGGCTCTTTCAAGGTGGAAGTTTCCAGAATTCTCTCTGCTTTTGGGTCTTCTAGAATGAATGAGACACTTTCAACTTGCTGTTTTTTCTCGTTGTGATCAAAGTAGTGTCCTGCTGCAGGTTCCACCCTTTATATGTGATGTGGACAGGGCTTTGGGCACAATTCTGCTTGTGTCCCACCCCCCTTTGCCGCCCTCCACCAGTACTGCTGAATAGTGTATTTCTTGGGATTTGCTTGCTCCTTGCTGGTCCTTTGGAAAAGATGAAATGTCCGGGAGTATGATCCTCATCCTTGCTGGACTGAGTTCAGCAATAATCAAGACATTCAGTTGGTTTCATAATGGAACTGTGCAAACACTTTGCATTCAATCTCTTAAAGATATTAAGTTAAACATTGCTGCTTAGTAGATGCAATCATTTTGTTTTTGAACTCTTTATTAATAACTGTTAATTACTGTACAAATCTCTCAGTTGCCACACATACTGGAATGGGAAGAGGCTTTCTGTTCATTAAATGACTGCCATGATAGATGTTGCCTCCTACCAAAGTTTTTACTTTCATCTCCAGGATATTCATTCTCAACCACAGGATATCTTGGCCTTTCTAAAGAACCCATTTATATCTTTATTTACATGGGAAATCTAGATTAAATATTAGCTAGTAAAAAATGCCGATACAGAATCATACTGGATGTGTTGGGTGTAAATTTCTCACCCAAATGAAAAAACCACTTGTCTGATTCTTAAACTTTAACCAAAACAGGATGTATCTGAGCAGCCACCTTCTTACTCCAAATGGACCATCATAAGGATGCATAATATTGTCTGGCTCATATGTTGAACAGTCCATCATATGAGTATATTATTCTGAAAGGGCAGACTTTAGATAGATGATAGATAGATAATAGATGATAGATAGAGGGAGAGGGAGAGAAGATAGAGATTATAGAGACAGAGATAAAGATAAACAAACGTGTGTACTCATTCATTCATTTATTCATGTATGCATGCTTTCGTTCATTCATATGATAAAATATGGAACAATAAATGTGAAAAAATATACAATATATCTCTGAATTGCCATTTGTTACTTCAGATTTTCAAAATCTTTTTTACTTTATGAAGCAACATGGAATCAACTTTTGTTCTGTTCCTAAATATTTTACTCCACCAATTAAAGTGATCATATGAATTATGATGCCACAGTGTGTATATCTGAACTACCCAACGTGCATGTGTATTTCCAGCACATCCTGTCCTTTGATTTTATTGGAAATTCTAGTCCTTTTTGTATATAGTATGTTAGATGTGTGTCATGTATGTGTTCACTTTGAAAGCGGGCAATTAAATTTCATTTTTGATGTGTGCCGTTGTGCCCACAATAAAAAAAATGACATTAAAGATTATCTTATCTCATCTCACCTCACCTTATCTTATGCTGTCCATCCTGATCTAGTTTTGGACATTAATAGAATTCTAAATGTTTTCTTCATGATAAAGGTTAGTGGTTAGTGTTGGGTTAATGTTTTTTGTTACTGGAATTCCTTCTTTTAAATTCTATCAATAAATGATTATAATTGTGCATATTGTATGCAAAATGTGTTCTGCAGGATAAAAACTCATGTTTTTCCAGTGCTTTAAATTATGACTATTCAAATAAGGGAAAAAATGTTGCTGGCAAAATACTCAAAATTGGGATCACTCTCTACATATAAGTATTGATGAAAAAATAATAGTTCTCAAATGCTTTTATAGAAAAATATACTGCAATAATTCTTCTTACATTACTAGAAATATGTGCCACTTATAAAACAGCTTGTTTCTTTATTTTAATTTTATTTTTTCTTAATAAACAATTTATTATAGCCTATCTATCTGCTGGTGTATGGCCAAATAAGGATTGATTGATTGTTTGTAGCCGATATTTATATAGTTTGAGGTACAATAAACAAGCTATATATTTTTATCTTGTTTATTGCCCCTTTTAAATATCACAGAATCCAAGCTTGTCGTTATCATTGATGCAGGAGTAGGAGAAGAGATGAAGTTCCTTATTAGATTTTGAAATTCAAAGGTGTTAAATGACATCTATCATGTTTATAGGTAGATTGTTCTGATCGTTGTTCTAATTTAACAGATGGAGTTGTTATATGTAGATTTAAAATAATTCTGTATTTGTGAACTATTATGTTGGTCACACTGTGTTTAATAAACTAGCACTTAAGGGAATGAGTGATCCTTCTAGATGAAATATATACTTATGTTTGTGTTAGCTAACAATTAAATACTAATTTCTAAATTGGCTTATATGAGTCTTTCCCAGGATAAGATGATAGTTATATTATTACATTGCTCTGCGCCCTTTCTGCTAACAGTTCTTCATATATGTGAAAAATTCATATGCTTAAAAAAAATTACTTAATCAAATCTTCCATCAGGTAAGCAATCTATTGTTGATATTATGAAGATCTTTAATCTACAATAAATCTTCATTAGAACTCATCAGAGCTTCCAGTTTGAGAGAAATTAGATTATAGCTCTTAAAATGACATTACATCATTGGGGTGACTGGCTTATCATTTGGTGAAGTGACATCAATCATAATTAACATAACCACATAGCAAATATATTCAACCTTTTTCCTTGCAATATACTGTAGCAACACTGTGATGGGTCAGACTGCAGTCTAAAATCAAATGGAAAAAATGAACTTTCTTTGAATGTGAAACGACGCTAATTGAATATTTTATTGAAAATATTGGGTAGATGTAGAAATTAGTATAAACTACGGAACATTTCTCATTCTCATTTTTCTTTTATTGATCAATATTCTGTTTAGGACAGTGTGTGTGTGTATGTGTCATGAAGAAATACAGGGTGTACAAATAGTATAATTTATTTTGTTAATGACATTTTTGGACAACATATGAATAAAGATTAATGCTCAGATTTAAAATTCCGTGTTTGCTTTAATATATCAGTATGTTTCATAAACCCAAAGTTTTGTTGAAGAAAATACCTCCTCAGTCAGGAAAGCAAATACTGTAATAATCCAGTAG